CTTTCTTCATGGATGATGCTCTTGATGTCATCCCACAATTCTTCTGATTTTTGGTCACTGGTGCTCAGTGCATCAAATCTGTTCTTTAGATGGTCTCTAAATTCAGGAGGGATATACTCAAGATCATATTTTGGCTCTCGTGGACTTGTTTTTATTTTCTTTAAGTTGAAGTTCCATATGAGAAGTTGATGGTCTGTTTCAAAATCAGCTCCTGGCATGGTTTTGGCTGAAGATATTGAGCTTTTCCATCCCCTCTTGCCACAGATGTAGTCAATCTGATTACTCTGTGTACCATCTGGTGAAGTCCATGTGTACAGCTGCCGTTTATGTTGGTGAAAAATGGTGTTTGCAATGAATAAGTCATTGGTCTTGCAAAATTCTACCATGCGAGTATCAGCAGTAGTTCTGTCACCAAGGCCAAATTTTCCAACTACTAGTGATTCATCTTTGTTTCCAACTTTTGCATTCCAGTCACCAGTGATAATCAACACATACTGATTGCATGTTCAGTCAATTTCAGACTGCAGAAGTTGATAAAAATCTTCAATTTCCTCATCTTTGGCTTTGGTGGTTGGGGCATAAATTTGAATAATAGTTGTATTAATGGGTCTTCCTTATAGGCATATGGATATTATCTTATCACTGACAGCACTGTACTTCAGGACAGATCTTGGAACATCCTTTGTGATGATGAATGCCACGCCATTCTTCTTTAAACTGTCCTTCCTAGCAGAGTAGATCATATGTTTGCCTGATTCAAAATGGCCAAAACCAGTCCATTTCAACTCATTAATGCCTAGGATATTAATCTTTATGTGTTCCATTTCTTTTTGACAACTTCCAATTTTCTTAGATTCATACTTCGTACATTCCATGTCTCAATTATTAATGGATGTTTGCCACTGTTTCTCCTCAATTTGAATGATGCCACGTCAGCAAATGGAGGTGTCAAAAGCTTTATCTTATCCATATGAGTAAGGCTAATGTTACTCTGATAACGCAGCTCTTGCCCAGTCCTGTTTTGAGAGCTTTCTATGCTAAGTGACTCATCTTCCTCCTCTATATTGGACAATGTTTCCGGACTATTCATAAAGTTGTGCAGTAATGTATCAGACAGTATTTCTCTTCTACTCACAAGGTTTTCCCCGGCCAATTCTTTGAGAAGTGGATGCCTCTTCCTTCTTCCTCGTCTTTCTCATCTGCAAGTCAGGCTGATACCTGTGCACCATGTGCACCCCACTGGATTGAAACACCAGTGGCACAGCCTCAAGACTCACAGCAACACGTAACCACAGTGGGACAAACCGACAGACAAGTTTGTCTCCCTTAGCTGTTGGAACTTCTCCAACCACCCTTACCTCCTGAAGTTAGAGACCATTTAAAGAATACATTTGATACACTGAACACCAATGACCAAGTCCAGAGGAATTGTGGGATGAAATCAAGAACATCTTCCATGAAGAAAGCAAAAGGTGATCAAAAACACAAGAAAGGAAGAAAAGACCAAAATGGATGTCAGAAAAGACTCTGTAACTTGCTCTTGAGCAGAGAGTAGCTGAAGCAAATGGAAGTAATGACAAGACAAAAGAGCTGAAAAGAAGATTTCAAAGAGCAGCTTGAGCAGATAAAGCCTATTACTATAATGAAATGTGCAAAGACCTGAGTTAGAAAACCAGAAAGGAAGAACATACTCAGCATTTCTCAAGCTGAAAGAATCGAGGAAAAATTTAAGCCTCAAATTGCAATACCAAAAGATTCTATGGGCAAAATATTGAATGATGCAAGAAGCATCAAAATAAGATGGAACCACAATACACAGAGTCACTGTACCAAAAAGAATTGGTCGATGTTCATCCATTTCAGGAGGTGACCTATGATCAAGAACCAATCATATTCAAGGAAGAAGTCAAAACTGCACTGAAGGAATTGGCAAAGAACAAGGCTCCAGGAGTTGACAGAATACCCACTGAGATGTTTCAACAAATGGATGCTGTGCCACAGGCACTCACTCGGCTATGCCAAGAGATTTGGAAGACAGCTACCCAGCCAACTGACTGGAAGAGATCCATGTTTGTACCCACTCCGAAGAAAAGTGATCCCACAGAATCAATATCATTACTATCATATCCAAGTAAAATCTAACAGAAGATAATTCAAAAATGGTTGAAGCAGTATACTGAAAGAGAGCTTCCAAAAATGAAAACTGGATTTAGAAGAGGATACAGAACAAGGGATATCATTGCTGATGTCAGAGGGATCTTAGCTGAAAGCAAAGAATTACAGAAAGATGTTTACTTATGTTTTATTGACTATGCAAAAGGATTTGACTGTGTGGATCATAACAAACTATGCATAACACTGAGAAGAATGGGAATTCCACCACTCTTGAATGTACTCATGAGGAAACTGTACATAGATCAGGAGGCTGTACTTCAAACAGAAAAAGGGGATATGGCATAGTTCAAAATCAAGAAGGGTGTGCATCAAGGTTGTAGCCTTTCACTATATTTATTCAACCTGCATGCTGAGCAAATAATCCGAGAAGCTGGATGAAATGAAGAACAGCGTGCCATCAGGATTGGACGAAGACTCATTAACAACCTGCAAGATGAAGATGACACAACTCTGCTTGCTGAAAGTGAAGATGATTTGAAGCACATACTGATGAAGATTAAAGACTACACTCTGCAGTATGGATTACATCTCAATATAAAGAAAACAAAACTCCTCTCAACTGGTCCAATAAACAGCTTCAAGATGGATGCAGAAAAGACTGAAGTTGTCAAGGACTTCATATTACTTGGTTCTCCAATCAACACCAATGGGAGCAGCAGACAAGACATCAGCTGACATTGCATTAGGCAAATCTGCTGCAAAAAACCCATTTCAAGTGATTAAGAACAAAGATGTCTCCTTGAAGACTAAGCTGTGCCTTACCCAAGCCATGGTATTTTCAAATGCCTCTTATGCAGGTGAAAGTTGGACAATGAATAAGGAAGACTGAAGAAGATTTGATGCTTTTGAGTTGTGGTGTTGTAGAAGAATGCTAAGACTACCATGGTCTGCTAAAAGGACTACCAAATCTGTTCTGGAAGGAGTACAGCCAGAATGCTCCTTGGAAGTGAGAATGGCCAGACTTCATCTTACCTACTTTGGTCATTTTGTCAGAGGGAACCATTGGCTGGAGAAGGATATCATGCTTGGTAAAGTAGAGGGTCATCAAAGAAGGGCAAGGCCCTCAATGAGATGGATAGACATAATGGCTGCAACGATGGTCTCAGGTATTGAAAGGATCGTGAGGCTGCCACAAGACCAGGCGATGTTTTATTCTGTTGTTTCTAAGGTCACTATGAGTCGGAGACAACTCAGTGGCATCTATCAACTCCTGGCAGGTGCTGGGAGGCCACTGAGAGCTAGTAGTAGAATGAAGAGCAGCACTCTGACAATATTTCTCCCAGACATCAGTTGCTGGCCAAATTCACAGCATCTCAGATGCTGGATTCTGAAGGCCTGTGTTCCAGAACAAACTCTGGACCTTGCCTAACTACTCAAGTCATAAAAGCCTTATAGTCTCTCAGGAGTTGAAATCAGTCTTTGAGTAGCTTAACTATTCCTAGGATCTGTCACCTACAAGTGAGAAGACTGTCCCTCCTCCTTCCATAACTGTGCTTCTGCTTACTATTAGCCTTCAAAATGAAGTGACTTACTACTTATGAATGCATGAAGAGATGCATAGAGAAAAGCCAGGAAATAAGATCCATAAAAGTCAGGGGAATGATTATCTTTGGGAATATGAGGGGGTGATATGTGATAGAGAGGTTTCTAAAAAATATACAAGAAATTATAGATAGAGATAAGTACTGATTTGGGTGAAGAAAAATTCAATTAAAAAAAAAAAGAAACTCTAGGTGGTAGTAGGTATGCAGGAAATTTTTTATTATTATTCTATAAATTGTACCTATATGCTTTACATACTCTTCTGTACATACAAGGCTCACAATTTAAAAACTTTAAAAAAAACTTCATTAGTAGTCAATTTTCATACACACACACAAATTCTATCCTTCCATCTGTCAGTCCACCTGTATTACTTTTAAAATTGAGCTCCTCTTCTCTATCCCAACTCTTGAGAGAAGCTATTCTGATCTCTCATATGGGTCAGGTTCATCATTATAAGCTTACATAATAATCACATACTCTACTTTGCATTTATTGCAGCAATAAATTTTATACTTATTTATGTGATTATTATTTGTCTCCCTTTTGTGTCCCTCATCAAGAGACTATCATTTTATATCTCTGGTATTAGGTACATTGCCTGGTTATAATATGCACAATAAATAACAACGAATGAAGGAACAAATGAGCGTCTAATACTGCTACCTCTGCTGGCCCTTCTAGACAGCCTTCTCACTGATGCCTATTTTATCTGTTCTCACACATTTCACACACTGGCTCTGTATACAGAGCCAGCATGTGAACTGTAGGAAGGAACTGAAATGTCCTGAGGTGACTGAGCTTCTCCACATAGTACCAGGACCTCCTCACCATGCACCTTCTACATCTCAAACCTACCTCTCATAAACCTTTATCTCCACCTCATCCCTCTCACGTGAAATACCTTGGCTCAGCTCCACTCATCCTTTAAGTCTTATCACGAGCATAAATATGTCAGGAGGCCTTCTGTAACCTACTCAAAGTGGGCAGATACTAGTCCTCTGCCCTCCTAGAGACTTTTCATATTGTTTTCCATCGTATTTAGAAGACTGCTATTCTTATTAGCTTTATATATCTTTCTCAGTAGTTTTTGCAGTTGAGTGCAAGCTCTATTCTAATTCAGCTTGAATCCCCAGAACACAGCACAGGATCCCACACATTTTACTTAGTAAAACTTGATATATGAATAAATGGAACATGCAGAGTTAAATACCTAGGCAACTTTCAAGTCCGCTACCCGCATTTCATCCTGTCACCCTCGTCCCTGCCATGTACTCACTCACCTGAATTCCCTGTAGATATTATTAAAAGCAAGTGCAGCCCCCAGCCTCTTGGAAGCACTGGGGTGCAGTGCAAAGCTGTACAGTCGCTTAAAAAGCGATTTGGTGTTTACTGGACTTTTTTCCTGTTGTTGTGGTGTCGTGTGCTTAATGGACCACTTGAGGAATTCTCGAACACAGCGACCACAAAAGTCTCTTAAAATACTGTCAATAGGATCTACAATTCCATCCTGAAACCAAACACAAAGGACTTTATTTTACTTACTTTTATAACCATAAAAAGATAATTTAGTATACTTGTTCTGCCTTTGAGCAAAACTAGAGTATATTGTAAAGTTTAATTAACAGTACTATGCAAGGGAGTTCTGGTGGCACAATGCCTAAGGCATTTGACTGCTAACCAGAAGGCTGGTGGTTCAAATCCACCAGTCACTCCTCAGAAGGAAGACTGGGCAATCTACTTCCCTGGAGATACTGCCTTGGAAACCCAAGGAGGGGTCGCTATGAGCATTCAAAGGAAACTTAAAAAAAGTAAAACCAATCTAATTGTCTAGTATCTGTTGTTGTTGTTATGTGCTGTCAATGCAGACCAACTCATGGTGACCCCTCCTTACCTTTCTGAGGCGTTATCACTATGGAAGTAGATTGCCCAACCTTCCTTCCAAATCTAGTATCTAGACTCTAGAAAACAATTTTGTTTGACAAATGAAAACACTTTCACTGAAGCAATTCAAAAACTGAATAATTCATAAATAATTTCATTAAAGCAGCAAAACATTCTTTCCTTTCCCTAAAGAAACACATTAGCTCTATCCGAAGAATTTCTGTTGTTCTTGGTTTTACCTTGTAACAATTTCCAAGATTTTATTTACTGAGGTTGAAGAGAATAAGAATTTTTTCAAAAAAATACATATATTTTATTGAAATATGTGTACAGTGAAATACACAAAACAAAAGTAACATGGGTTAATGCATTTTTTTTGGCAGTGTTTCCTCCCTTCCCCTCCCACCCCTTGTATCCAACAAAGAAAGTTTGTTTCCATACATAAACCTTTCCTTGACTTTTTACAATAATGAACTAGTACTATGTTTGTCCTTCCGTGATTGACTTATTTCACAGCATAATGTCCTCCAAGTTCATCCATGTTATGCAGTGTTTTGCAGATTCCATATTATTCTTTAGTATTGCATAGTATTCCATTATGTGTATGAAGCATAGTTTAAAGTGGTAAACTAAAGTCTCCTACTATGACTGTGGAGTCATCTATTTGTCTCTTCAGTTCTGTTAGGGTCCAGTTTATGTATTTTGGGGTTCTTTCATTGGGTGCATGTTGTGTTGTTGTTGTTGATATGTGCCATCGAGTTGGCTCCAACTCATAGCGACCCCTCCTTGGGTTTCCGAGGCAGTATCACTACGGAAGTAGGATTGCCCAACCTTCCTTCCGAGGAGTGGCTGGTGGGTTTG